GAATCCGTTGAGATTCTGTCAGTGTCAGGGAATCTGTTCTGCCTTTTGATATGTTCTGAATTGATATGATTTCTGATTTCCGTACGATATAAATTGATCTGATCTGTATTCTGATTTTGATATATGATTCTGTTCTGTTCTGATATGACTTCTGATCTGATATGATTTACTCTGATTTCTGATTTTTTATTTATGTACGTTCTGTGAGCTCTGATGTGATGTATTTCTGTTCTGTCTGTTCTGTTCTGATTTGATTCATTCTGTTCTGCTCTGTTGGTTTCGTATTCTGATTTCTGTTCGGATTTCTGTCTGATGTGTTTGATGTGGACTCTGAGGATTTTGATTGGAGGTTTATTATCTTGCTGAGCTGTTGTAGCTCATCCTTGTTTTCTGCGTGGTTTTCAGGTTCTGGGAAGGGGAATAGAAGTTCAGAGTCTGATTCCGTATATGTATTTTTGTCATTTTGATTTTTGTACAGTCATGGCTTTTCTGTTCTGTCTTTCTTTCTGTCTGAAAGCCATGAGCTGTATTTGTACATGATTCTTTTGAGGAAGAAAAGATGGATGATCTGTTCCGCTGTATTTTGATGTTTATAGTAGCTCTGTGTGTCTGTTTCTGTGTGTAATGTTTGGAAGAAAGTTCTGAAACAAATTTCAAAGCCAGATCCTGGAATCAGTTCAGTCAGTCTGAAAGTTCCGGCCTCACGACCCGATGAGAGCGGGACCCGTCCCGGTCGGGTTGGGTCATGACAATATTATAGGCCTATGATTCTACATAAGCACTGCCCCCAACCTATATCCTGACGCATCAGTCTCCACTATAAAAATCTGGCTAAAATTCGGAAGACCTAAAACTGGAACTATAGTCATGGCTTTCTTCAATCTCTCAAAAGCCTGAGTCGCTATCTCTCCCCATAAGAAATTATCCTTCTTCAGTTGCTCGGTTAAGGGCCAAGCTATGATACTGTACCCTCTCACAAATCTCCTATAGTAACCAGTCAGTCCTAGGAAACCCCTCAACTCCCTTATGTTCCTAGGCATAGGTCATTTCTGTACTGCCTTAATTTTTGACTGGTCGGTCGCCACTCCCTCCTGGAACACTACATGTCCCCAATACTCCACACTAGCCTGGGCGAAGTTGCACTTCTTTAGGATGTCCTGCAGCTGATCCTCCTATAGGATTCCCAAAATCAAAGACTGGGAGTGCTGGGGCTCCAAATGCTCCTTCTCAATTTTGTTCTACAATTCTACACTAGTATGTCATCAAAAAACACCAGAACAAACTTCCTGAGGTACTGCCTAAACACCCTATTCATCAAAGACTGGAAAGTAGCTGTGGCATTAGAAAGCATAAATGGCATTACGCAAAACTCATAATGCCCCTCGTGTGATCTAAAAGTTATCTATAGAATGTCTTTCTCCCTCATTCTGATTTGATGGTATCATGATTTCAATTCTAGCTTGGAAAACACCATGGCCTCAAACAATTCATCCAAGAGCCCATCAATCACAAGAATTGGGAGGTTATCTGGCACTATCCCCCTGTTCAAGGCTTTGTAGTCCACAAAAATCCTCCAGCTCCTATCCTTCTTATTGACTAGTAGGACTGGACTAGAGAAGAGACTCACACTTGGCTTAATGATCTCAGCTTCTAACATCTCACGGATCAACTTCTCAATCTTATCCTTCTGAATCTGAGGATAACGGTACGGATGGACACTCATCGGCGACACCCAATCCTTCAAGGAACTGGTATGATCTAGCTCTTTCTTATGAGTTAGGCCCTGAAGAGGCTGGAAAAACTCACAGAAATGCTTGATTAGTGGTTGTATTGAAGAGGGAATGTTGCCCTCCTCCAGTCTGATCCCCTCCAAGCAATGTAACTCCACCAAATATCCTCCTCCCACCTCCTCTATGGTTCTGATCAAAGACTTGAGAGATACTCCAGTCTTAAATAGCCCTGAATCACCCTGAATCACCATTCTCTTCCCACCAACCACCAGTTTCATCCTCAATATTACTCAATTTATCTTGATCTCCCCCAAGGTCTGTAGTCACTTCATCCCCATAATGACATCAATGCTTCTCAACTCCAAGGGAAGAAAATCTTCCCTCACCTGTATCCCCTGAATGGTCAACACCACTCCCCTAAAAACTCCTCTACCCATCTCCGCCTTTCCAGTGCCCATCATCACCCCATAGCCGCCTGCATCCACTTATTTCACCCACAGCAAATCAACAATCTGAGTGGAGATAAAATTATGGGTTTTTATAAGCACTACCACTTCTCTATCAGCTGTCTCTCCCTTAACTTCCATGGTGTGATTCGGGGTGTACCCCACCACAGAGTTTAGGGAAACTTCTACCACATCTAGGTGCAATTTCTCCTCTTCCTCCACCTCTAACCCACTCTCACCTCCCTCTTCAGTTTCCTCGTCATCACAGACAATGAGAAACTGAAGAGTTCGGTCCTTACACCTATACCCCGACATATATTTCTCATCACATCTAAAACACAATCATTTTTCTCTCTTCTATTGTATCTCCTTCTCAGTGAATCTTTTGAAGTTTCCCCCATTACCCCCTCCTCCAGCTTTTTTCCTTGGTAACTTCCTTCGGACTCTCTGGTGCAGGTCCATTGGAAGCTAAAAAGGTGGTGATCATCCTGAATGATCCCCATAATTTGCTCCACTTAGGCCCCCTCTCCAGATGCTTCTAGTCCTCCACCAACTGTGCTAGCTCCATAGCCTCTCCCAAATCTCATGGCCTCATCACCCTAACTGCTGCCCGAATTTCTGGTTTAAGCCCCTTCAAAATGATTCCCTCTAGCACTGTCTCTGAGAGCCGGTCTAGTCTGCTGGCCAGATACTCGAACCTGTCACGGTCTCCTCCTATTTCAGGGCAAAGTATTGCTCATAGAAATCTCCTTCATTACTGGTATGGAAACATTCTAGTAAACAATCTTTGAACTCCCTCCAGCTTCGAATGAGTTTCCTCATGTCTCGTCATTAGAACCATGACAGTGCCTTTCCTTCCAAACACAATCTTGCCACCGTTAGCTTCTCTTCCTCTGTCAACCCGTTGACAGTAAAGTAACGCTCCACTTTGTAGATCCAGCCATGGCTGTCCTCACCCTTAAAGAAGGGCATCTTCAGCTTTCTCACCTTCGGGTCACCCCCGTTTCCCTTGAATCCTCCATAACCTCCCATTCATCGAAGAGGGGGTATTCCTCAGTTGTCACGATCTTCCCTCTGGCAATCATACCCAAACCCTTCATCACATTCCCCTCTTCTTCTTTCAAAATTAGCACCCCGACAGTAGAAATCATCCCTTCTCCCCACAAAATCAGCACCCCTCCTTTTGTAGCTCATACTCATCTCCTCCCAAGAAAATGATTCTAGAGGCATTCCGTCATCTCCCTCAAGGATCTCCACTTTCGAATTTTCCCTCCCCCTAAATGGGTTTAGATTTCCTCCTCTCCCATGGTCATCGATCGTCTCC